TGTCAGCTTGCTGCAATGGGGGTGCCTTTTTTGGCGGTTCCCCTTCTTGGGTGAGAGTTAGGGAAATCACCAGGAACACCGTTGCGCCATCTTGGAAAGACACGCCCAAGAACTCATGCGCTCGCACTCAGAACCAGGCACTTGCCAGGAGCCAAGCATGCCATGCCATCCTCGGACACTGGGATATCAAGTCCCCTGCGAAGTTGCACGAGCAAAGGATGCAAAAGATAGACGTATGGTTGACCTGAATCTCACATGGATTCAACATTCACTCAAAGGGCACTCCATTTCTGGGTTTTGACTATCTCCTGAGGCAGTTCCAAGGCTCAAGGAAGCGCATTACCGTTGTCAACAGGCACGCATCATGAGTTGGAGCTTGTTGGTCAGGGCGAAGCAGCTTTAATGGCCATTATTCCTGTCTGAGGGAAACATTCCGATTTCGAGGAAACATGATTATCTCGTACCAGGCGATCAGTTCTTCAAACTCTAGAATTGACCAGGAATCATATCATACCCAACTACTGTTGACAAGCTCCTAGCTCCTGGTACAATGCCCATGTCGGAATCAGAAGGGAATCCTTGTCTCGCATGATTCGCCATGTCATGCAAGCATGATCAGCAACTGCTCTTTGGCAAAAAAGGATGTAGCTCTTATGCCTTCTGTCTCACGGTAGCCCTCAAGCCTCTGCAAAACGCGAGCAGCCCGCCTTGGAGAGGCCATTGATCGTGTCTGGCGAAATACGATTCTCCTTCGGCAGTGAATCTACGGCTTGCAAAACCTCACAACTTCAAGTGAGTCCCAGTTGACTCCGGTCGGTCAGTTGAGGGCTCATACTCTCTGGTCTACTATACAAGGTTTGTGGCAGGGTCAAAACATATGTAAATATGTATACGCATTATGAGTACATATATATATATATACCTCTATACATACATAATATATATATATTGCTACCCTTCCAATTCACCAATTTGCAGGCGAATTTCTGCACTTGCGTGGCATTCCAAATAAGAATAAGCGGCTTCTCGGGAGATTTGCAAGTGAGGATGGATGGACAAACAGACTGCTCTCTCGCTTTTTTGGCTGCGCAAACTGGGACTGCTGGCCAAACTTGCTGGATCGGTAGTCAGTCAGTCAGTCAGTCGGTCGGTCGGTCGGTCGGTCGGTCGGTCAGTCAATCAGCCACCCAACCAGCCACCCAGCAAGTCCGTTGGCAAGTGACCAATGCAACATGCAGGCATATGAGAGCAAAGCCTTAGAGTAGTGCCTGGATACGTGGCACGATGCAGTGCACACAAGCAACATCACACCTGTATACATCACAACGTTCTTGCATCCCCTTTGTTACCCACGTTTTCGGGAAGACCGGGGTCTAGATCAACTTGTACTACAATACAAGTGCAATCTACACAGAAAGCAGCGCTGGTTTCATCTGGTATAACGCAACGCTGAATGGTAAAATCAGAACTTGAATCTTCCACTTTGCATGTTTAGATGAACTTTTCGCCCATGGTTCTAATAAAAAATGAAATATATAAAGCACCAATTTCACTATCATGATTATCTTTATCTATTTCTTTCCGCGCTTTCCATCCGACTGACTTCATGCTTTGGTCTGACTTTCAAAACAATTAGTTACCAATTTGTGCATAGCGTTCTCGAAAACTATATGGTCAGAATCACAACACCGAAATTTAACTACACCGTGCCAACTCTTTACATAGTAAATAATAGCTAATTCATTCGTGAATTACAATTACCACTTAATAAAGTTCCATGTCTGCTGTGAGGCACAGCGCAATAAGCATACCTAAGATGCCTATCTGCACTATCAATGTCCAACATTCTTACACGTTCTGTTTTAAACATCATAGATTCTTATGTTGTAATTCTCTATATTACTTGTTACCTATCTTAAACAATTGTATTCAGCGTTCCTTCTTCATCCTTCTTGTAAAGTCTTAATATATTTTTCATCTGTCCAGACTCTTTGCGCTTGTGTTTTATTCTTGCCGGAGAAAAAGCCGAAAGGTCAAACTGCCTGAAGCAAGCAACATGTTTGCGTGGTGAGCCTTGTTTGACGCGTTTCACCTGGCTCTACGACGGAACCACGCATTTTTTCTTGATCTAGGGTGAACCCGGCCCCATCCGTCCGTCTACCTACCTTTCACTTCCTATCTTCTACTTCTATCTATCTAACGCATCCATCTATCAAACTTTTCTGGAGCAGGCTACTACTATATCTCTATGTATCTATTTAACCTGTCTACTCTAATCTATCTCTATCTCTATCTCTATCTCTCTCTCACTCTCTCTCTCTACCTGACCTTGCAAACACGCTGCGCCTGCCACGAAATATGTACGTGACCTTGCGAAACCACTGCGCATCCCACGAAATCTGCACCTGACCTTGCGAAACTGCTGCGCATGCCACGAAATCTGCACATCGCCTTGCGAAAGTGCCGCGCCTGCCACGAAATATGTACCTGAACTTGCGAAAGTCCTGCGCCTGCCACGCAATCTCTACCTGATACCCCTGCGCCTGCTATGCAAACTAAAGTCGCGAAAAGTGTGCACGTGCTGGAGCCCGGAAGGGACGAATCGCCTCAATTCCGGTTGAAAGGGAAATCTGAAACTTGAGCCGACTGCAGAAGACATGCAAAGGAAGAGATGAGGCGGGCTCCAGTTGGGAGTTTTTGACTGGCACAGACAAAGATATAGACAATGTATACATATATGAATCCGCCGACATTGCTCGGCGTGTCGGACACCTACGAGAGGATAGAGGATAACCCCCCCCCCTAACCCCCCCCGGCCCGACGTCTGATACGTGGGGGGGGGGGGGGGGGCCCCCCCCCCCCAAGGACCGCGCGGCAATTTGATGACGTTCCACTAAACGTAGGTGTCGCAAAACAGGGGTCCCAGGCTCGATTCCCCCTGCCGGCTCTTTGCTGGTTTGGGGTTCCTGCCTCCTTTTGCAGAAAATCTGGAAAAACTCTGTGTTTTTGGACGTCCTAATTGTGAAAACGCTGGAAAACCCGTTTTTTTTGCTGGAAATATTGGGGAGCAGAGGGGAAATGCAAGGAAGTGCAAGTGAAATGAGGGGAGGAAATAGGAAGTCGACATGACAGGAAAGCAGCGGAACATGAAAGGGAAACAAAGGGGAACTGAAAGGGACATGCAAGGGACAGAAATGAAAACAAGGGGAGTGCAGGGGGAAGGAGAGGAAACAAAGCACAAGGAAACCAAGCACGACGGGAGATGTAGGGAAATGACTCGCAACGAAAGAACGGGACATACATGGCAAATGAAGCGGACATACCGAGAAAATGTCAGGGACATGAAGGGGGGGCTGAATGGCATGGAAGGGACAGGACCAGGACATCATGGGAAACGTGACAAGGACATGAAGGGGGAAAGCCAGTAGTGAGATGACAGTTCAGGGTCATGCAGGGGCAGTGCCCGGACATCGAGGCAACTCGGGGGGGGACGTGACGCTGCAATGCAGAGAGAGAGAGAGAGAGAGAGAGAGAGACAGAGAGAGAGAGAGAGAGAGAGAGAGAGAGAGAGAGGGGGAGAGCGGGAGAGAGACAGAGAGAGAGACAGAAAGAGAGAGAGAGAGACAGAGCCACAGACAGAGCCAGAATCAGAGAAACAGAGAAAGAGACAGACAGAGAGAGAGACAGCGAGAGAGAGAGAAAGACGGAGACTGAGAAAGAGAGACACAGAAAGACAGAGAGAGAGAGAGAGAGAGAGAAAGAGAAAGAGAAAGAGAAAGAGCGAGAAAGTGAGAGAGTAGAGAGGTTCGAATTAGGGTGCCCTTTTTCTGTAGAGGGGCGTGGACAGGAAGGAGACAGGGAGACAGAAAGAGACAGAGAAACAGAGACAGCGAGAGAGAGAGAGAGTGGGAGATTGAGGAGAGAGAGGCTTGGGGGGATGGGGAGAATGGGGAGCAGAGGGAGGGAGAGAGGACGACAGAACGCACGAGGGAGACAAGGGAGAGGGAAGAAGGAGAAAAGGGAGAGGACAATGTCGGCGGACTGAGCCGGAGGCTCTAAAGTATACTAGGGTGAACCTGCCTCTGTATGCATATAAGAGATAACACATCTACAAACTATACACTACTTTCCAGACAAATAGCTGTTTCATACGTGTATGTTTACGCCTACACACACGTGTATACATATATATATATATATGTACATGTATATAAAATATATATATATATATATATGCGTGGACAGGTGCACCTGTCCGCGTGTGTTACAAAGATACAAACCCAACTATCATGGACAAGGGCATATACACAGACATGGACAAACGCATATACATGGACATGGATACACGCTTACATAGGCATAGACACATACGCAAGCGCATGTGTAGACATGTATGTTTATGTATGTGTACATGTATGTGTACATGCGCCTGTGTATGGATACGCATGTGCATATGTCTATGTTATGTGCCACACACAAAAGTTCTATTGTTTGTATTTGCATATAGTCTACGTAAATCTGCACACATCTTCAGAGGCCCATCCTGACCCAACTTCAACGTCTCCTCGATTCGAAGCCAATAGGGACAAGTCAATCGCAGGCTGGCGCTTTTGGCCTGCGTGAGAAAATTTGCTCAGCGGAAGCCCCGCTCTACCCTTTTGCTCTATCATGATACTGATAAACATTCATACTAGGCCCTCACTACTTTCAAACCAGGGAGTAGACTCCCTTCCTATGTTGGCCAACAGATGCTTTGGGTGCTACATGGAACCCCAAGAAAGGCTCGCCCGAAACATCGCGCTGCCATTTGGGGCAGCAAAAACTCAAACCTCTAACGTTGGCAAGGCCGAGGCTGGATCCCAGGTGCAAGCCGCGCAGGTTCTCAAGAGCCTGGCCTTGAGCACAGTGACGAGAGCCTGCGCGAGCCATGGCCAGCCGAGGTCAGAAATCGGGGCCGAAAATTGGGACAAACAACTTGGGGTTCCTACTGGGTGGCACGTCTTTTAGGCTTTTAGGGACCCAAAATAGTGGTGTTCCTTTTGGTGTCCCTTTGAAACCACCCACAAAGGGGGGGGTAACCCTCAAAAAAGACAAACCCACTTGGTTGATTTGATGCGTGTTGTACTAGCCCGTCACAAGAAGGGTCGACTATTTCTTACACACAGTCAGCTCCAGTTCAGGGAACATCGACAAAATCAAGGCGCATGCAGGGGAGGGAGCGTTGTCAAAATTAGGGGGGCCAAATGTATAGGACAGGCAGCCCAATCTCCAGGCTGCGATCCCATCTGAAATCGGCCCCACATGTTGCCTCCAAGGATGTCGCCGTCAGCTCATTGTGCGATAAGTGGATCTCTTGCGGAAGCTTTGCCGAATCCTCGAGGAATATGGCAAAGGCTGCAGTTCAACGATCGAATCCTCTGTTTGCCTCTCGATAGCAAGCGTTTGATCAACTGTTGCGCATCGATGCCTTTGTGACTAAAACACTAAATGCTATATATCCGCATGGAACCAACGAGCCTATTCTGCGGTGCGTGTCGCGCCGCGGCTTGGCACTTGGGGTGAAGCGCATGAGCCGACGCTGGTTTTTGCGTGAGAGGCGACTCATTCTCATGGCAATCAGCGCACTTGCGCCAAGTTGTGCCAAAAAACGAACGACAGGACGGCTGATCTGATGAATCGTTCAGTTTGGAAGTTATATTCTTCTTCGCCGAACTTTCTTGTCTTCTCAGGTGCTTCCAGGCACACAGCAATAGGTCAACTTGCGATGGATCTCGCTGACCGCGTACTTTGCTGCTCTCGTGCAGCTTCTGAAAGTGAGACCAAGTCAGCTACAAGACTCTAGATGTGTCTGATCCCACTTTCTGTTTCTCTCTGGACGTCTGCTGGGCCCCATTTTTGTGCGTGGCGAGGAGTGTGACTTATCTTGATTGCGTGAGTGTCAATAAACTCTCCAGCGTGACTCCTGACGCTTGCCCTAGCCAAGAAAGGCTGTCTAAAATGCATTGTTCTGGCTACCTGGCATCAACGCTCCATGAAGGTAAGGCCAAGACCATGCATAAAAGCCATTCGCACAGGCTGTACAAGCAGGCATCTGTCGCTCCACATCGATATGCCTGACATGTTGGGCAACCCCACAGCTTCGTTTCCACACATGCCCATGATTCTTTTGGCAAAGGACCTTGACGCGCTGCGAAGTTGCTCCAGCCCGGCGCAATGTGTGGAACAGCTCGGACAAACAGTCCTGACAAGCTTTTCGCAACTGCCACGCTGCCTGTGTCCAGCCCAGCCTCGGCCCACGTGATGCTTGAGACATCGATGTTGTCAAAGCGCACCGTTCCGAAGTCGTACCTTTCGAGAAAAAAAACACACAGCGAGCTTGATGATGCTTGCTAAATGCAGTGAAAAACAAAAGGACTGGTGTTGTAGCAGCCCGGCACCGCAACAAGCAAAGAGGACGTAAGCCTTGCAAGATTGACCATAAATCCAACAGCCAAAACAAATGAGCAGTCTGGCTGGGATGCGAACGTGCAAAGAACACATGAGATGCAAACACGCAATGGCACACAAAAGAGTTGGCATGGGGAGGCTGTCAATGAGTGCCAAATCACGCCCGCAACACTTCTTCGCATCTTGCAGTGCTCTTAGCCACGGTTGTGTTCTCAAGTGTTTGGTTAGTGCCAAGCTATGGCGAGTAAAGCTAAGCCCTTGTAAAAAGCCCAGATCTGATTTGCAGTGCTCGGGTTTGATGGATGCACGTGAGTCAACCCTAGCAAGAGCCGCCAGAGCAAGCAATCAGCAACAGGCCCCGATCAATACTACCTCGGATGGATGTGGCCCATGTCATCCCCTTTGCAACGGTAGATGATTGTGAAAATTGTCGGCTGCTTCTGTCAACTGCCAGCTGCCTGGCCTTTGTTCCTGCATTTTGCCGCTCAATCGACATCAGCAAGTTGATCTTATCCAAGCAACCAAAATGACGATGAACTGATCTGATGCCCATGGCGGGAATGCAAGCTTGCTACGGCGGTTCAGACTAGCAAACACCTTGACAAGCTTCACCTACCTGAAGAAAATTCCCCAGGGGCAACCCATCTATCCACCGTCCTGATCTTGTTTACAACAAAAACATCTAGCACAATAGATCAACATACTCAGCTGTGAAAGGGGTCTCGGGCGCACTTTTGCAGTTCGCACTGCAGCTGCTGGCAAAAGAGCAACGCCTGCCCTGGTGGATCCCGAAAAATTGCCACCTCGGGCCAAACAAACCAGCAGGCGAGATTGAGGACTCAAAGGCCCTCGCGCCCCGGTGTGGTAGGCAGGTAATGCCGGTCCTTAACAACTTAAGTCTCCCCCAGCTCTCCAATCGCGCTCGACAATCTGTCAGCTTCGTCTGAGGAAGCGTCACAGGCCCGGCGTATCCTACACCTCCGCACGCCGCTCCTGACGAGCAAACTCTGCCGACTTCTCATTCAAAAAAAGATCCCACCTCCGGCTTCCCACCTTGGCTTTGCGTCAATCACAGCTTCACTCTAACGCCATAAACCTCGGTGCTTTCTTTGAGGTGCTGCAGGCTGGAGACGATTTGCCCAATTCATACTTTGGAAGGGCAGGCGCGAGCTCTGTACTGTGCCCGAGCGCCACACGTGCCCTGGCCTGATTCCCCTCTAGTAGCTACAGACTAAACAACATTGGCAGCGCACATGTCTCAGACATGTGGCAATGATTCGTTTGCTCACCGCCTCAGCTCATTCCTGCCACAGAGAGAGAGAGAGAGAGGAAGAGAGCTTGAGTGAAGAAAACAGCAGCACGGCTGTGGGAAGCCTCCAGAATGCTTGGCGTCTCTTCAAAACAGAACCAAACATGATTCCTAGTTGTACCACATGTTCGCTGCCGAAGCATGCCTCCGCTTTGAAGAGCTGCCCCTCAACTCCTGACAGGCAACAGACGAAAAAGGCGTGTAGCTGCATGCACTTCGTCCCAGGCACAATATATGTTGGTGCATTTAGCGTTATCACTTTGATGCGCCGTGCGTGCTTAAGCCACGCATCTTAGTTGCCTCACAAAAAACTTGTGCTCAGCATATCCCGAGACAAGGTGTATCGCAGCATCCCTGCAACAGGAGAACTGCAATCCGTCCAAATGGAAGACAGAGCTAAAACGAGCGGGTCATCAAAAGGCAGAACATGGAACCCCAAACCACCAAACCCCAACCCCCAACCCCCAAACCCTAAACCCTACACCAGGGTTTTCCTGCAAGACAGGTTGGCAGCCTTCCTTTTGACGATCCAAGAGTTGCCGTTGTTGTTGTTGCCGCTGTCGTTGTCGTTGTTTTTGTCGTTGTGGTTGTTGCTGCTGCTGTTGCTGCTGCTATTGCTGTTGCTGTTGCTGTTGTTGTTGCTGCTACTGTTGCCGCGGCTGGCTGCGGCTGCTGCTGCTGCTGCGGCACTGCTGCGGCGGCCGCCGCCGCTGATGCTGCTGTTTACAGCTTCAGCTGGTCTTGCGTCACACAAATCGGCAGACCGTGGTAATGTCCTCAGAAGATCGCTTCTTCGCTTTCCAGCGCGTGCTTGTCTGACAATAGACGCCAATGAGGGCTGAGTCCTGGAAAAGCGCCACACAAAGCATGTCATATCTGAAATAGTTGGATCGAACTGCATCCAGCTGTCTTGCGTTGTCTGCGTCTTGGTCCTTGAAGTACAAGCCAACGATCTGGCTACCATCCGAGGAATTAAACTTGACTCCTGGGCGGAAAATCGAGCTTCAACGTTGCCGTCGCGTTTCTTTTTGTCCCCATCAGCCAAGTTGCTCTTTGATGAAGCGGAGGGCTTGGCCCAACCGGTGATTGAAATCACACGCTTCGAGGTCACAAAGGTCAGGGACGTACCCAAGTATTCCTTCTCGACCTGCTTCACAGACAAAATGAGCTCGTCTTCCTGAGCGCCACCGAGCGCCACTTGGCCCAAATGGGCAACGTCTCGAAGCAGAAGACCCTTCTTTGACGTGTCCAAACGGCAATCCGAAATGGGCTGCCCAAATATTAGGATGCACGGCCTTCAATTTTCACCGCAAGCAAGTAGTTGGTACAAAAAACCCCATGCCAGGAAACACTCGTAGCCATTCCAGGCTTGGCCCTGGCAAGAAAAAGAGGGAGAAATAACCTCCCTGATCGCGATCCGGGATCCATGATTCCATCAAGGAAACAGAAAAGAAAACAAGAAGCAACCAAACCAACACCAAAACAAACACCACAGCTTTCAAAGGGGGTCAACCATGGTCCCTTCCGTTCTCTAAGTTTTGGGAATTCTTCAACCTTTCCTGACATGGGCGAAGCGCCTCAGTGCCAGGAACGATACAGTGAGGCTCTGACCTGCTAGAGATCTTTTTCATCAGCGTGTCACGGATCCTGCGCATCAAAATCAGTGCCAGCGTCAGCCCGTGCTTCAAGTCCCTTCCTGGCGGCAGCATCTTCAAATGCCTCGCGAGGAGCTGCCCCAGCTTCCAGCAGCTGGCGTACCTACGCGCAGGGGGCCGGGCCTGACGCGCCATCTGACGGCTGTCTCTACCCTCGGGGCGGAGCTAAACCTAAATGATCTTGGAGCCAGCCAAAATACCAGCTCGCATCTTATTCATAGAATCACTGCTAAGAGTCCGCAAAAGGGGTCCCCCACAAGAAGCAACCACACCAACACCAAAACACCACAGCCCCCCAAAGGGGGTCAACCATGGTCCCTTCCACGTCCCCCAGACTTCCGCATACGCGGGGGTTCAAGCGAGTGCAGGAGGTCAGCCCAAACCTTAGAGAAGGCCAATTGCTTGCGTGAAAACCGCATCTGCATGTCTGACAGTACAGCCAAAGAGTCCTGAATATAGATCCTGACTGTCCGTTCAGCGGACCAGCGACCAGCTTGGCAGACTTGTGAGTAGCTTTTAGTGGTTATAAAGAGGTGAGTGGCACCACCTCTCCTGAGACTGTACGGTTTAAACCGGCAGTTTGTAAAACCGCACGCGACGCAAGCACCCTGGAAGGCTGCACGAAAAGCATGCGGGCGCAAATCCACCAAAAAATCGTCCGGGCGAGCACGCAAAAGCCACGCTCTGAGCAACATGGAAACCTCCAGGTTCTCCAACGTTGTTGCATCAGCTCCCGCATTACGATACGACATTTTAGTCGAACCCAAGTGGAGCACAATGGACGACGACTTCCCGACATGTATATGCTTAGCTTGCAGCTGCAGAAGCTCCGAAGAAGTGCCGAGAAAGCCACCTGCAAGGCCAAAGCCAGCTGTGGTTTAGATCCCTGTAGATAACCACACAATACATTCAAAGTGGCTGGCGTCAACGGCTTGGCCCGTGAGGGCAGCTCATGCTGACCCCAGGTCTTCAGAAGTCGCCATGAAATTGGCAAATTCCGCCGCAGGTTGGGCTGAGCATGCTGCAGACCACAAACAGTGTCATTAGCTTTGTAGCGACTGTCGCCTTCCTCCCAGAGATGAGTGATATACTGCCATCGAAGGCTGTTTTTGTTTGCGGCAGCTGGAGCTCCTCATACTTAAGGTACTGGAAAAACTCTCGCACAGAGTCACGATAACGCTTCAAGGTGGCGGGTTTGACTGCAAGGTCCTGCAAAGTGCCTAAGTGTTTGCGTCTTTGTTTGCGTTCTGCCCGGCTGCGCCCTTCCACTACCTGCGCTTTAACCATCGTCTCTTGACCGGCCGTCGAGACGGCCGGTCAGCCGGATTCTGGTCTGTGTTGACGTAGCCGAGCAAGCAAACATTTCCGGACGCTAACAAATAGGCACACATGCGTTGCAGGACCAACCGAAGCTTTTCTTGAAGAAGACCTCCCCTTATTGGTGACTAACAAGGAGACCATTGAGTCCGTCAGGTGAAGGAACCGGTGCCGTGAAAAGGGCCCGTAGCTCAAGCTTGTTGATGTGCTCGGGCCGCCCAGGAGTCCTCCTCCACCGCAAACCACAGACAGCTTTCCATCCCCACAACCCAGCGGGGACCGAAGACCTAAGGCGTTGAAACTTTGGAACACACATGGTGGGGGCGGTCAGCAAGATGTTGCCAATTTCTGCACCAGCAACCCCTCACGCTCCGCGTCCGAGACCACACTTGAACGCTGTGTCCAAGCGCGTCTCCAAAGTTGGCTTTGGAGAAGCGCACCCCTTCCTGGCTGACATCTCTCCACCACCTCCCGAAGGGAGACGTGGGGGATAAACCCCTGATCTTCCAACAAGCTCTTCAAAAGCAATGCCACCACAGGCACCGACCATGTGTTTCCCAACATTGTAAGGCGCTTGTTCTCCCAGTCTCCTCTCTTTGCCTTCCTCTCATGCTTCGCACCAGCCTTTTTTCAGATGGTGCACCCCATTCTCACGTTTGTATTGATACGGCGGGAAACGATGGTTGTCCGCCGCCCAAAGCTCCAACTCCTGCGGGGTGCAGGAATCAATCCCCGCCGGCCTCCATCTAGGTTTGGCACTTGGCTGGGACGTTGTAAACGTGTTCAACTTGCGATCTGGCGGGCCCGCCAAAGCCCATCCAGGCTCAAGATAGCGCGAGGCTTCAACACTGACCTCAAAACGGACCTCCCCATACTCATGGCAGTCAGGAGACCCCGGGAGCGTGATGCGCACGCCGTCTTCACTTCGGATGGCCCAATTGAACCACCACAACCGAGGCCGCCTCGCGAGTGAGCAGTGCTTGGCATCGACCAAATACGGAAGAACCTCGATGGAAGTAGAGTAAACTGCTCGATCCTCCCAGCTCATTGAGAACACACTTTCCAGCAAGAAGAACACTTTGGCCCAACTGAAGACACTCCTCACCAGGTCAATGATATATTTGACGTGAGAATGCAAAGAGGACCTCGGACCGGCTCGTTGCGCCCAAAATTCAAGCCGGACACACCCTGGCAAGGGGGTCCCCCTCCTATAATGACCAAGTGAACGCGGGAGAAACGGAGGGCCCACTGCCTGACCTCCTCCTCCGTCACCTCCTCAACAGAGGAGAGCTGCAGGACATCAGCAAAGTTCGCTTCCACCACTCTACAGGCGCCGGCATCCGATTCTACAGCGATGTAGCCCCCAACTGGGGCCTGCAAGACATCCAGCGCCACCCTCAAGGCACCTATGCCATCAAAAAGACCAATCCCCAAAACCTGAGTCATCAGGGAGCTCAGAGGTCTCACCTCTCACTGCAGCCCCCATAGGCTTGAGCCCCGTAGACATCACCAAACCACCACCCGTCTCAGAGGCGTCCGAGGCCGTCACCAGACTCATCCCAAGCCACAGCTCAATCTTGACTTCCAAGGGGATAGGTTTCCACAGCCCTGTTTTCCCTTCGAAAGAAGAGATGAAAACCCAGATCTGGTTGAGGCACGACATCAGGGGTCGCCTGTAACTAAAAAGGTAAACCAACCCCCCGGCGACAATTTGCAACCTCTTGAGAGAGGTCCTCTTGGACCTTAGGAGGAAGAGTCCTCCCTGCACATAT